ATCGCGCTTTTCTCTGCCTGACTCTGATTCGTTCCTCCCGTTCCAACAGATTCTTCCTGGAAGCGGTTCTTGCCACCCCTAGGCCCATACCAACTCTTTGCATGCACTCACATATAAGCACCTGTCAGTTTCCTACACTTTTTGATAGAAAACTTTTTCTATTTTCACATACTATGTTCTTTATTTTCCATCATACCACCTACTTCTAAACTTTATTATCTTCTTTGAAAATTTAAAATATGTAAATATAATTTCTTTTAAAATACCTGCATCTTTTATAGTCCTAAAATAACCTGCCTTCCTTCCACCACAGTTTGCACAGAAAGGGTGCACTATTATGTGCCTGGTACTTTGCTGGACTCTTTATTTTATTTAATTCTAAAACAAACAACAAAAGCAACAAAAAACATTATAAGACATGTATCTTCGGTAAAATACAAATCATGAAACTAAGGCCGGTGGAATGTGGGGGTGGATAAAATAACACAGTGGACTGCAGGACTGCTACTTTTACCACGGTCTAAGAATTCATTTTCTATTAATGTATTACTCCTGGCTTGTCACACAATCATCTCTTAATGAGTCAAACTATTTCCATTTGATTTATTTTTGTTTTCTTTCTTTTTTGTTTGATACCATATAGTTTTGATAAGTAAGGGGAAGATCTATAATCATTATATTTATCACCCAAAGGTCTTATCTACATGATATTTACTCTTACTGGGTTTAATGGAAGAATGAAAGGGATAGAGAATTATGACTGGATGCATCTGGAAAAGCATTTTCCGGGCTGTCACTGCACTTAATATCTTCTTTTTAGTTCAGTGCCCCCTTTTCTGACTAACATGTGCTGTGTGCTTATTTGCAGTCACGTCCGACTCTCTGTGATTCCCTGGACTATAGCCTGCCAGGTGCCTCTGTCCATGGGGATTCTCCAGGCAAATATATTCAACTCTAAAAATTTCTCTGAGCTTATCAAATGATGATTCTCATCCTTTCTCTTCATCGAAGTTTTTAGGACCAGTCTATACTCACTGCCTCTACTTCCTCACCTCCCAATTCACTTTATTTATTTAAATGTTTGACCATGCCATGAGGCTTGTGGAATCTTAGTTCCCTGACCAGGGATCGAACCGGGGCCACGGCAGGGAGAGCACCAAGTCCTAACCACTGGACCATCAGAGAATTCCCAAGTTACGTCTTTTTTGAATCAAGTTTTTTCACCAAAAAAATTGGAGGTATCTATCTCATACAATGTAGTGAGGATTCATTAATTACATCAAGGACTTAGGACATTATCCAACATAGAACAGATTGTCAATAAACAGTACCTGCTATTATTATAAAACAGCTCCACCTAAATGTCCTATAGATACCTGAAACTCTGAACTTCCTTTTACTCCTTTTTTTTTTTTTTTCTTTTTTGGCAACTCACACAGCATGTGGGATCCTAGTTCGCTGACCAGGGTTCAAACCCGCACACCCTGCATTGGAAGCTCAGAGTCTTAACCACTGGACCACCAGGGAGGTCATTTTACTCCATTTTAAACTACTCTTCTTCTTGTCTCCCCTCTTTCCGCTAATGACACAACTCTAGCCTGGTAGGAAACCCTGGTTTCCTCTTTGAACATACCCTTATCCCATCAACTGCCAAATTTATTGCCTCTACCTCAGCAATTTTTCTTAGACTTACTGACATTGATCCTGCCAACTGAAGGCCTCATTACCTCTTGTCTGAGATACTGCAACAGTCTTCTAGATTATCTCCCCATTTTTGGACTCTCCAAATCCATCCTATACATTGTTGCTAATTTAATTCTTCTAGCACTTGGATGCAGAGAAGGCAATGGCACCCCACTCCAGTACTCTTGCCTGGAAAATCTCATGGACAGAGGAGCCTGGTAGGCTGCAGTGCATGGGGTCGCTAAGAGTCAGACACGACTGAGAAACTTCACTTTCCCTTTTCACTTTAATGCACTGGAGAAGGAAATAGCAATCCACTCCAGTGTTCTTGCCTGGAGAATCCCAGGGACCAGGGAGTCTGGTGGGCTGCCGTCTATTGGGTCATACAGAGTCGGACATGACTGAAGCGACTTAGCAGCAGCACTTGGATGACACAGAAAAATATTCATGATATAGTATTAAGCTTAAAAGCAGATTATGAAATATCAAATAACTATTTAGAATACTATATAAAATTAAAGACATAAATGTGTAAAATACACATGTACAAAAACAAAAAGGAGGGGGAAAAACCTCTCAAAGGATACATTTCAAAATGGTAAAAATAGTTATCTCTGGATAGTAGGGCCATGGGTAATTTATTTATCTTGTACTTTCTCTTGTGTTTTCTACAATGAATATGTATTATTTTATGTAATAAGAAAAAAATGAATGGTATAACATATATCCTTCTATGAGTCCCTCACTGCTTACATTAAAAAGTCCTGAATTCTTTGCCATGCAAAGACTCAGTATACTTTAAGGACTATACCTTTCTAACTTATAACTCATGATTTAGCTAAACAAAGTAGTCACTGCACTTCATGTCAACCGATGCTTTCTCTAGATCTCCTCTTACCCTATTGTCTATATTCTGTTTCTACTGCCATCTGTTCAAATTTATCCAATCCTTCAGGCTCAGCTCAAATATCTCTAACAGGATCATGGTATAAGCAGAAAAAAAATAGTCTGTCTGATTCTCAAGTCCCTCAATTAAAAACTCTCCCAGTCTGAGTAAGTGAAAGCCTCTGAAACTCAAACATTCTGAGGACAACACTGCTCCTTCAAATGGCAGTAATTAAATAACAAGATAAACAAGTAACGTGCCCAGCACAATGTGCCACTTGCCTCATCTTGTCTATGCAGCTGGGATCTGAAGCAGTGACAAATGTTTTTTACCCAGTGTTCTCTCTGGAACACAAAGGTCAGAGAATGTTAAGCAAGGAACAGCCTCAGAACTCAATTACCACAATTCTTCAGTCTGTTTTGACGGCCTCTTTTTCTCTATCATCCCTTAAAACTGGTTTCACTCTGTTCTACTTCTTTTTTCACTTTCTGTCCAAACCTTAGGTGATTTCACCCACAACCATGGCTTTGGCTACCATTCATAAACGTATAATTCTCTGTATCTCCAATTCAGATTTCTTTCTGTAACCTGACATTATGAATCAAACTATCTACTAAATGTCTCTACCTGTATGTCCCACAAGAAATTCAAATTCAAACTTACTTTCTCCCCAAACCTGTCCATCTTCCTACATTCCCTAAAGGCACCATCAAAGACAGAAACCTGAAGGACATCCAAGAGTCCTCTTTTGTTCCCTTTTCTCCACTTTCAAGTCTTGCAGTAATCCATTCCAAACTTTAAGTCCATCTGCATCCCAAACATATCAGGAAGTTTCACGCCACAGTGTTTTTAAACACATTATTCCTTCTACCTAGAAAATCCTCCAGTTCCTTCTTTGCTTGATTAACTTCTCTCATCCTTTAGAACTGAGCTGAAAGATTATCTTTTTTACAAAACAAAATAATTAACATTTATTATGCACATCAGGTACTTTGGCCACCTGATGCAAAGAGCTGACTCATTTGAAAAGACCCTGATGCTGGGAAAGATTGAAGGCAGGAGGAGAAGGGGATGACAGAGGATGAGATGGTTGGATGACATCACCGACTCAATGGACAGGAGTTTGAGTAAACTTCGGGAGTTAATGATGGACAGGGAGGCCTAGCATGCTACGGTTCATGGGGTCGCAAAAAGTCACACGACAGAGCGACTGAACTGAACTGAAACACATGGTATATTTTGTTTTATATCACTGTGCAAAACACTTAGTATATGTTGTCTAAAAACTCTTCTCCCCTCCCCCAAAATTCCATAACACTTCATATCTATATCTCTCATACATATACTTCTGCCTCACATTAGCATTTTGTGTATGTCTTATTTTTCTCACCAGACTAAAAGCTCTTTGATTGCAGGAGTCAGTTTTAAAAATCTTTATGCTGAATACCTCTGCCTATAGTAACTGTTCAACAAATAACTGATAAAAGAACCTATAATTAAAAGAGCTATTGTTTTAATTACGTTTTCCTATTACACGGATTTCTTCCCACCCATAATAAACACTAGCCCCACTATCAGCAAACCACGGTTCCCAAGCAACAAACGGCTTTCTGATTAATTTATCAAACGTTTCCCGGTGCTAGGCACTGGGAGAAATGCATGCTCGAATTTTCAGTAAAGGATTTCTGGTGTCTATTCAATCCAGTAATGACTCTCAAAACAGTATGAAACACTAGACTGTTCGAGTATGTGAGTCACGTGGCTCTGCAGTGATGACGATTTTCAGCGTGGCTTCAGGGTCAAGTAACAGACTACACTACCAGTCCGTCGACTAATCCCCTAGGACTCGTCAAGACCTGCCTCACCTAGCCATATCCTGGTCCAAGGTGCGGGGGAAAAGTGGGGAAAGTGGCCAGCCATTTTTCCTCAGACCTGCGCATCCTCGCGGCGCCTGCTTCCCCGAGATGTTCTCTGGCCCAGACCCAACCCCCCGAGGGGGCGTGGCTCTCACCTACCAATCCGCCTACTCTCTCCCCGGGGGCTCGGCTGGCTCCTCCAAGGACCCTCCCCTCTCTGGATGGCCACGCAAATGCGGGACTGGAGTAAAGGTCTGCACAGCCACAGGCTTCCCCCCTCCTCTCACAAGGACTCTGGACCCAGCCAGCTTGCCCTACTTCACGCTCCCTGCTCCTCACCTGCTCTGCAGACACCGCCCCCTTCCCCGTGCCGCTCCCGCTGCTCTTGCCGGCGCGACCGCCGTTCTCCGCCATCTTCACCGCCTGCTAGCCTTCCGGCCTTCGCGGCTCAGCACCCCCTGCCTGCGTCACGTCCGGTCTCGGAGTTACCGCCTACTCGCCCCTGGAACCTCCACCTCTAGGCCGAAGTTTGGTTCGGATGCCGCGGATGATTTTGGCCATATCTTAATGTAGGACCTACTACCTATCCCGCCCACCCCGATGAATTCCACCTGCGGTTCTTTAACTTATGCAACAGAGACGCTGCCCCTGGGAGGCGCGGGAAAGAAAGGGTTAACTGGAGAGTGGGGCGCTGGTCGGGATCTGGGTGCCAGTGCCCCCCTGCCCACCACTGGGCGGTGAGAAACGAGGGAGGGTGAACTTCCCCTCAGAGATTCTGGTGGGGAAATATGTTTTGCGTCAGTAAAACTGACTACAGGTGCACAGTCAGGAAGAGAAGCTGGGAAGACCAAGGAAGTATCTCGGAGATGACTTTTGAACTGCGGAATCATTTGTCTGAGGAAATAGGCTTTAATTTAATGTGAGATCAAAGGCCTTTCCTCCATCTTCCCACTTTATGATCTCTTCCGGTAGCCCATAATTACCTATGATAAGGAATGTTTTGACAACTTGGGAGGTTTTACAGGGAGGGTCCTGATTCAGCCTCACAGTATGAAGAGAGAAGTCAGGGGATCTTAGGAACTTATTGCTTGACAGTGGGGTTGGTGTCCTGATTTCTCACTTTCTTCAGGCTGGGCTTCATCATCAGGCCTCCTCACCAACTCCTGTCCCTTCTTTCGTGTCCTGGACTCCGGATACCTCGATTTTCAGTACTTTGTGCTCCACCCAGGTAGCATGTTTTGTTGTGCTCAGTTGCCTGGCACATAATAGATGCTCAGTAAATGTTTGTTAAATGTATGGATGGTGGGAAACACTGGGGCACCAACCATCCACAGAAATATTTGATTAGTGGGTCATTATGCCATGGGTCATTGTGCCCTGTAAGAGTAAAATGAAAGGAAAATCTAGCTCTCCTGTCTCAATATTTTAGCCTCTTATCCTTAAACTTAGGTTTCTCCATGCTAATCAGTCTGAGGCCTGCCTATGCCATTTACAGACTCAGAACCATGGCCGTCTCATCTTCTTCCTGGGAACTGCCCCTGGTGGCTGTGTGCCAGGTAACATCCACCCCAGACAAGGAGCAGAACTTTAAAACGTGTGCTGAGCTGATTCGGGAGGCTGCCAGACTGGGCGCTTGCCTGGCTTTCCTGCCTGAGGCATTTGACTTCATCGCACGGGACCCTGCAGAGACACGACGCCTGTCTGAGCCACTGGGTGGGAACCTTTTGGAAGAATATACCCAGCTTGCCAGGTATCAAGGGGGAGGGAGGGGTAGTTTCTTTCTGAGTGATGTCCTAGGATTGTCAGACATGAGGATAGAACCTCGAGAAGTGTTGTCAGTGTCCCCTCCCCTTCAGGGAATGTGGACTCTGGCTGTCCTTGGGTGGTTTCCATGAGCGTGGCCAGGACTGGGAGCAGACTCAGAAAATCTACAACTGTCATGTGATTCTGAACAACATGGGTGAGACTTTTAGCCTGCCTCCTCAGGCAATTCTACCTAAGATTCTCCAGATTTGTTTTCTCAACTGTTTCCTTGGCCAGGGGGTTTTGGGGGTATTTGTACTTCTGTTCCTAGCCTATAAGCTATCTCCTCTCTGGGAGGAGAGGATCTAAGCTGGCTTTCTAGGTGCTGGTGCCCTAGTATTCTTTCTCCCTCTTACTCTAGGGTCAGTAGTGGCCACCTACAGGAAGACGCATCTGTGTGATGTAGAGATTCCAGGACAGGGGCCTATGCGTGAAAGCAACTCTACCATACCTGGGCCCAGTCTTGAGTCTCCTATCAGCACACCAGCAGGCAAGGTGGGCATTGTCAAAGGACGAGGGTAGGAAAGGAACAAGAGGGAAGGGAACAGGAATACTTTAAAGCGGGGGTAGAGGACAGAAAGCACTGGGTTTCAAGAAAGCTCTAAGGAGTGAGGTGGCAAGGTTATGACCAAATGCTGTGAAATGCAGGCAGGGGGGCCAAATAGGCTGTTTCATTCCAGATTGGTCTAGCTGTCTGCTATGACATGCGGTTCCCTGAACTCTCTCTGGCATTGGTTCAGGCTGGAGCAGAAATACTTACCTACCCTTCGGCTTTTGGATCTGTCACAGGCCCAGCCCATTGGGAGGTAAGAGAATACTTCTTCAGAACCTAAGGGCCTTTTCTTACTTCATTCTCCTTCCTTGGTTCTACCAGTTAAAAGATTTTCTCCTTCCCACATACTGGGAAAATTCATTTCCCCAGATTGTTGCCTCTCAGAGTAGTAAATCATTCACAGGGCAATTATCAGAATGGTCACAATGGGTAGACTGGGCTGTATTGTCCATGGCTTACCACTTCCCTACCAGCTGCTACATGTACTTAAGTGGACACCTATCTCCTCCATCCCTAGGTGCTTACCCCAGACAAGGAGCAGAACTTTAAAACGTGTGCTGAGCTGATTCGGGAGGCTGCCAGACTGGGCGCTTGCCTGGCTTTCCTGCCTGAGGCATTTGACTTCATCGCACGGGACCCTGCAGAGACACGACGCCTGTCTGAGCCACTGGGTGGGAACCTTTTGGAAGAATATACCCAGCTTGCCAGGTATCAAGGGGGAGGGAGGGGTAGTTTCTTTCTGAGTGATGTCCTAGGATTGCCAGACATGAGGATAGAACCTCGAGAAGTGTTGTCAGTGTCCCCTCCCCTTCAGGGAATGTGGACTCTGGCTGTCCTTGGGTGGTTTCCATGAGCGTGGCCAGGACTGGGAGCAGACTCAGAAAATCTACAACTGTCATGTGATTCTGAACAACATGGGTGAGACTTTTAGCCTGCCTCCTCAGGCAATTCTACCTAAGATTCTCCAGATTTGTTTTCTCAACTGTTTCCTTGGCCAGGGGGTTTTGGGGGTATTTGTACTTCTGTTCCTAGCCTATAAGCTATCTCCTCTCTGGGAGGAGAGGATCTAAGCTGGCTTTCTAGGTGCTGGTGCCCTAGTATTCTTTCTCCCTTACTCTAGGGTCAGTAGTGGCCACCTACAGGAAGACGCATCTGTGTGATGTAGAGATTCCAGGACAGGGGCCTATGCGTGAAAGCAACTCTACCATACCTGGGCCCAGTCTTGAGTCTCCTATCAGCACACCAGCAGGCAAGGTGGGCATTGTCAAAGGACGAGGGTAGGAAAGGAACAAGAGGGAAGGGAACAGGAATACTTTAAAGCGGGGGTAGAGGACAGAAAGCACTGGGTTTCAAGAAAGCTCTAAGGAGTGAGGTGGCAAGGTTATGACCAAATGCTGTGAAATGCAGGCAGGGGGGCCAAATAGGCTGTTTCATTCCAGATTGGTCTAGCTGTCTGCTATGACATGCGGTTCCCTGAACTCTCTCTGGCATTGGTTCAGGCTGGAGCAGAAATACTTACCTACCCTTCGGCTTTTGGATCTGTCACAGGCCCAGCCCATTGGGAGGTAAGAGAATACTTCTTCAGAACCTAAGGGCCTTTTCTTACTTCATTCTCCTTCCTTGGTTCTACCAGTTAAAAGATTTTCTCCTTCCCACATACTGGGAAAATTCATTTCCCCAGATTGTTGCCTCTCAGAGTAGTAAATCATTCACAGGGCAATTATCAGAATGGTCACAATGGGTAGACTGGGCTGTATTGTCCATGGCTTACCACTTCCCTACCAGCTGCTACATGTACTTAAGTGGACACCTATCTCCTCCATCCCTAGGTGCTATTGCGGGCCCGTGCCATTGAAACCCAGTGCTATGTGGTGGCGGCAGCACAGTGTGGACGCCACCATGAGAAGAGAGCAAGTTATGGCCACAGCATGGTGGTAGATCCCTGGGGAACAGTGGTGGCCCGCTGCTCTGAAGGACCAGGCCTTTGCCTTGCCCGAATTGACCTCAACTATCTGCAGCAGTTGCGCAAACAACTGCCTGTGTTCCAGCACCGCAGGCCTGACCTCTACGGCAATCTGGGTCACCCACTGTCTTGACTTTTGACTTCTGTCCACTGAGACCTCCATTGTGAGCTGGTGGTGTGACTTGTAGGCAGGACCCAGGCGCAGCTCCCCTCACTTGGAGAACCTTGTCTCTTGATGGAACACAGGCTCAGCTTCTTGGAAAAGAAGAAACTTTCACCTGAGCTCAGATTTCAGTTTCAGAAAGGTGGAATTTAATATAGTCACTGTTTATTTCATGAAAACTGAAGTTATGCTGAGGGCTGAGCAGCACTGGCATTGAAAAAATATAATAATCATAAAGTCTGTGTCTGAATCTCTCTTTTCGGAGCTGAAAGGGGAGGTGGTATTGTACCAGCTGGACTAGGCTCCAGCTCTAGGCCTCCTGGCTGATTCAACACGCCTCCCTACCTAAAGAAAAGTGCAACACCCAGTGCACGCCCCAGCCCCTGCTCCCAAGCGTGGGAGTGGGCGTGAGGGTAGAGGATGGGGAAAGAAAAAGAAGAAAGGCATTGATACCGAATCACTTCACTCTCACCTATGATGCCCTTTGCCCAAGCCAGAAGAAAGCAAAAGGGGAAAGGGCTGCAGGGTACATTATTTATTTTCACTTGAACATGGAAAGAAAAGTGTCACACTCCCCCTTCCCCTTTTCAGGGGGAGTGTACTTTAATCAGCAACTGCTTCTCCATCCACCGTGTGTGTGTGTGTGTGTGTGTGTGTGTGTGTGTGTGTGTATACACACACCACAGTTGGGACGGTGACTAGGCTGACCTAGTCCTCTTACCTATTGTTCCTTTGAAGAGGGTTTGACAGAGAGGGAAAAGGAAGGAGCCACACCAGCCAGAGGTTTCAAGCCATGGAATGGAGGAAGCGAGGCAGAGAGGAGCAGCACCAGAGGCCAGGAGAGAGTGGAAAGGGCCACAGCTTCTTTGTTTTTTAAAAATTCTATAATTTGGGAGAGGGTGGTAATTAATTTCCAAAATACACTTCAGAGTCCCACCTTCTACACAGCTCCCTACTGACAGCCCTTTGGTTTTTCAGACAGAGTTTAAGAGCCCTCATAAAGCCAGAAGTACTGATAACCCCTCAATGCACCCAAAAGCAGTGATCACTTCAATCCCTTACAAAGACTATGGTCTGTAGCCTTTGCTTCTCCCTACACATTTGTCTTACGGCTCAGTGGCAAGGTGACTGTAGAGACACACATGAGGGGGTGAGTGGAAAAGGGAAACAAGGGGAAGCCCAGGCACATGGGTGCAGGGAGGGGCGGGGGACACCACTTCCATTTTTCTTTTGTCTTTTCCTTTAAAAAAAAACAAAGGCAGGGGTGTGATTGGTTGGAAGGGTAGAGAACAAACCCCAGCACAGCATGTAAGCTCCAGAGGTGGGTGGTGAGAAGTCCCCAGAGAAGTGAGGGGGAAAAGGTCAGGGCAATGCTTGAAGCATCAAGTTCCTCAGGAGTTTCTGCCGGCCCAGCTCATAGTCCTCCTCGTCCACGTTCACCAGCAGCTTGATGGCCTCGTGGCCCACAGCCTGCTTGAGGGAGTCTGTGATAAAGACGCCTTTAAGCGCCTCTAGTAACGAGCCATTGATGTAGTCGCGCCAGAATGCATCGAGGTAGGTGAGCTCAGAGAACTTGATGTCACAGATGATGGAGCCCAGGTCCCGGGACTTGAGGATGGTGTTGGCCTGGTTAAAGCGCTCAAACTGGCGCTCAAGTGGGTCCTGCTTGTTAGAAAAGACGTTGCCCTGCAGAGCAGTCTCATGCTGGCAGTATTCAGCCCGAACCCGCAGTCTGATGTCTGTGGGGAAAAGAAGACGCACAGAAGAGACTGCAGTAAGAGCTGAGTTTACACCCAAGTTTTGAAAAGAACGGCAGAGTAGCAAAGTTGGGAAGAACACCTAACAGCTTCTCTACCTCTTCCCAGGACTAGTTCTTTTCTATGAAGCTCTGAAATCTCAATTCAAGAGTTTCCCTTAAATGGGAACATGCCGAGGTCAGATTATTTCCATCACTCACAAGTAGCACCTTGATTTGAAGAGATATTTTCCTAGTTAACAGAAGTTCACTTTAAGATTCTATCATGACTTGAGTCATACTACAATAAGGATGTCATAACGGCAACCCTTTCATCTAGTTATTACTTAGAGAGTTGAAATGAACTCTGCCACAAAGACAGAGTCCTCCACCCAGAGACTGTAACATTCAACCTCACTGTGCCACAGTGATCAAAGGGAGCCTTGCTCTAAACAGCATAAGCTGCCCAGTGTTCCAAGGCTTCTCAGGTGGCGCTGGTGGGAAAGAACCCACCTGCCAATGCAGTAGACATTAAGAGAGAGGGATTGGGAAGATCCCCTAGAGAAGGAAATGGCAACCCACTCCAGTATTCTTGCCTGGAGAATCCCGTGGACAGAGGAACTTGGTGGGCTACAGTCCATGGGGTTGCAAAGAGTCGGACATGACTAAAGCAAATTAGCATGCCCAGTATCGCAGCAGGTCTCTGTATTTCCCCTCCAGTCTACTCCGCCTCTAGAACCCTTGAGCTTCCTCACCGCATGTCTGCTTTTCCTTGGGATCTGGTGTCACTGACTTCCGGCGTTTTCGCTGGCTCCCAAGTGTGGCTCTCCCTCGAGCTGGCCGCTTGCTACACATCTGAGGGCCCGAAGTAGGGCAGCACACCACAGGATAGTGGGGAGGCACTGACCAGAGGGTAAAAAGGGACACACAGCAGGGGAAAAGCAGAAATTGAAGCAATTCACTTGGAATGTGGAGGGATCCTTTAGACTTAGCACTATAGCAGTATCAATAATGTGACTTGAAAGGCAGACACAACATGGGAGCCATTATCGGACCTAGATGAAGCATTAACACCTCATCTGATTTTGAAGGAGGGGCAGATATGGGAGGGACAGTGTCCTTTCATTTAGGCTGGCAAAAGATGGGTCCAGCGTCCTCTTTCTTGATTATGGAAGTTAGGGAGAGTTAGGATCTCACCTGTTTTAGGGGGGTGGGGAGGCCTCGGCTCTGGGTCGCTGAGGGCTCTGGGTGTCACATAGCGGACTGATGTCTCCTCCAGGTATTTGTCTACAAGATCAGGGCACACTGTAGGGGGAGAGGGACTCACTCAGGAGAAGGTACACCCTCCCCTTCTAGTCCAATCCTCCAGCGCACCTCGAAGCGTCCTTCCCAGGACTCCCCGGAGTCAACGCCCCCTTCTGCCTGGCCTCCTGTGCTGCTTACTCGGGGCCGCCCACAGCTCTCCCCTGACCCCAGCGTCCCCGCCCCAGGGGCACCCTCACCAGCCCGTCTCCGCTTGAGAGTGACGTAGGGCAGCAGGTCGTGGCGAGTGATGATGCGCAGCAGCTGCAGCACCTGGCGGAAGTTGCTCTCATCACAGCGGCCCTGGCGCTCCAGCGCCAGTAAGAAGTCACGTCCGTTCCGGATGAGGCCACGCTCGTGGTCGTCGATGACGTCGACAAAGAGGAAGGAGAGAACGCGCACGTCCCTGTGCGTCAGGTGGGTGCCCACGATGTCGAACATGCGGTGCAGGCTGTAGAGCCCGTGCTCCTGCTCACCGTGCTCTTCCGGCCACACCTGGCTTGCCCTCCGCTTCAGGCCCGCCATGCTGGGGGCTCAGGCACACAGTGCTTCCCAGAATCCCTGCTCAGCAGCCACAATCCCCACTGTACTGGAAGGACAAGGAAAGAACCTGTGAACCACTCGACGTCAGGAACTAGTCTCAGCCAAGCCTGTACTCTCAGAGCCTAACACAGTGCCTGGCACTGTGTAGTGCTTAATAAGCATTTATTAACTTTTACAAAGTTGTTGATTTTTTTGGCTCACTGTGCAGCACATGGGATCTTACTTCCCTTGATCAGGGATTGAACCTGCATCCCTTGCATTGGAAGCATGGAGCCTTAACCACTGGACTGCCAGGGAAGTGCCTATAAAATATTTATTAAAAAATAAAGCCTAGAGCTCTCTATATTCAGCAGATGCTGCCCTAAGTCCAGATCTTACTAGAGAAAGACAGTCACTTCCGCTAAGTAAGACTCACTAATTACGATTTTTTTTTTAATTTTTTTTTTTTAACTAATTGCGATTTTAGTGCTATATATTTAGCAGACATTGTCCCAATTGTTCCTCTGGCCTCCAAAATACTGCTTTTGGTCCTGTGTGCTCTCCCTGACAGTGCCCCCAATCAATTCATTCCTTAAATGAAAGCAAAATGAAGAGAAGTAGAAAGTTCACTCTAAATTCTAACACAGAAGCTGCATCAGGTAAACTTAGGGGCTGACGGCAGAGAAACTGAAAGTCTGAACTAGTTTTAATTCTGCCTATATTATTAACAAACTGTAGCTACGTGACCTTAAGTAAGTCACTTAACTTGAAAGCCTCAGTGTCCCCATCTACAAAACAAGGAAGAAAGAAACTACTCCTTGGAGTTATTAAGAGCCCAGTGGGAAAACGCACATGAAATCACCGTAAAACTTTTCTAACTTGTTGGGAGATTTCAAACAGACAAGCATCCTTGGCCTCTGCAGCCCAGACTCATCCCTCCACAGACCTATCCTCATTTCTCCTACAATCTAACCAAGTCCAGGAGAATAACTGCTGAGAAAGTTAACCAAACATCCACCAGAACTCATGGATTTAAATCAACAAGCAGCACTAAGCTCCGACACTGAGCACGCGTGGGATTCTCCTACGCCACCTGTGCTCTGCTGATGTTCACACCATTTGGATATACGCCCCTTTCTCACCTTTCCTCATGGTCATCATCTACCAACCCCCTGTAAATGACCAAGCACAGTCCTACATTTATTATGTATTTTGGCATTTGATTCACAAATTTCCTCCATCATTGTGGGTAATGTCAGTGACCCAGCTAATAACCAATCCTCAAGTCAAATAGCTTTCATCTCCTCTCTAGTCACTCATATTTACTACCCTACCAAGTACCACCCAATACTACTACACCCTCTGACCACAACCTCCAATCACCCAAACAATTATAAATTCCTGTCGATACTACTTTCTATTTCTTAAATTTGCCTCACCTTTCCACCCCCTACTACTACCACGCTGGTTCAGGTCCCAATAATCTCTCACCTGGATTACTGCAAAAGCTTCTTTAAGGGCTCTCCTTAAAAAAAAGGGGGGGGGGTCCTTACAACCAATCTTAACCTGTCTAAATCCAATCCCTACATCCAGCTGAATTATCTAAAATGCACAACTGACCACATCACTTTTCATCTTAACAACCAATCTTAACCTGTCTAAATCCAATCCCTACATCCAG